TGACAGATGCTGCAGTATCGTATGTGTGAATTCCATGTACCTGCATGCATGACAGATGCTGCAGTATCGTATGTGTGAATTCCCCGTGCTCTTGGAGGCCTGCTCTTCTTGTGTGTCCCATTGCCAGTGGAATCCTATTTAATTACTCAAGCTGGAAACGTTGACTCTTCATATGTCCTGAAAGCTCATGGATAACACATTAGCAAGGCTTTTATATACTTTGCCTCTAAAACTTCTTTCCCACCTCAACACACATTTTGGTACTTGCTGTTTCTCCTCTGTATTGGGCCTTCATTCTCTCTCTCACAGCAGCTTCCTCACCAGTCAGCCTCATGCTGCTGTTCGAAAGGTAACACATAGATGTGATTCTATGATTCCCTTGCTTAAAACCTTAAATGGCGTCTGTTGCTTTGGTGACTGTGTTTCACTCCCCCAAGTCAGTATGATTTGGCAGTAGAAATTGTTATGTTCTGTTTTTAGTTGGAGGAGGAAGTCTTAGAGATATACTTCAGACGCTCAGCTATCAAAATTCTCAGGCACATCCACAGATTATTGTTATGGAAACTGGCAGCATATGATCACTATATCAATTACTTGTTCCACATACCTTAAGCACCTGTCATGTGAAATGAATGCAAACGCGTGCAGGTAATATAAAAGCGAAAATAACCTACTCTCTGCCTTCCAGGTGTTAAAAGTCTAATGCTGGCATTGCATAATATACATGGTTGCAGCAGTGTTTTTTGTTGTTTTGTTTTACTTTTTACTAGAAATTCTTGTGAGTTGCTATGGGCAGACAGAAGTAAGAGGCACAGAGTAGTAAGCATCTACTATGTGCTAGGTGCACACAGGTAGTTCCTGATTTAGGATGTTCTTGTGTTAGGAGGAACCACACACCCATCTGTGGTTAGTTCTTTTGTGCACATAGGGTTGCAGCACAAAATTTGCTGGTGTTTATCTTTCTCAGATATTCGAAGACCTGACTTGTTAAAGATATTGATAACAACAGTAGGCAATAGGAATGAAAACTTAAAAGAAAAAAATGGTATTTGTACATCAGAGCAGACAAACACTAGAGTAGTTGGCATTTAACCTTGATGTACATCGGGACTACTTGTAAATTTTTTGTAAATTTTAGAACAAGATTTTTTATATGAAAAAAAGCTCAGAGAAATAACCAACCTAAGATTACACAGCAAGTAGCC